TCGAGTACTCACAACTGTAAACCTACTTTTACCTACCCCTGCACATCAAGTCAGCACGACTTTCACTGCAGAGGGTCCAAGTTCCAGCGGCTGTTCACAAGTGAGCAAATGGCTTAAAAACACTAGCCAACGGTGGCGTGCAAGCTACTTAAAAGGGAGAGCCAGCTGAGCGTCTTTAACCTGGGCAGTGAAGAGGTAAGCACAATTGCTGCTATAATCGATGATGCCCAAGGCCAGTGCTTCCAAACTGCAATGTGGGTGTATAGAAATCACAGGGAGATCTCGTTAAACGGCAGGTGCTGATTCTGCCCGGGGAGGGTGTGAGAGTCTACACAGGTGCCTCACTTGGCGTAGCAAGTCCTTGGGTGGCACTGGGGAACCACCTGACATATGCTTCATTATAGTTTAGGCTTTGGCGATCGGAACAACAGGTAACGACTGTTAAAGAGAAAAACCACAGGTCCAAAGGGTCTCCCTTGTGCTAAAGCCCATGCTATCAAACCTAGATTTAATACCTGACCTAAGCGCCACTTCAACCTCTCCTACTGATGTAACCTTACACAACCGGTCTGAAATTTTCTGGGCAACGTCAATGAGGTAGCCTGTCATGTTGGGATTTGCCACCCCTACTCCGTTCCCCACAGGGAGCATAAAAAGAAGAGTCAATCTGCACCATAAAAACCCTCACGATTCCTTTTCCTCCAAAAGATGTCCTACTCGAAAAAGAATCCTTTCTCTTCTTCGGTTAATGGCTCCCTTGCCCACCATTCTTCCCGTAAAAACTTTCCATTTTTACAGCCCCCCCAGAGTGCGATTCTAGTTGCTACATGGGAAGCTCCCTGATTCATGAATTGCTTAATAAAGCCGATTACATCTTCAAATGTACTCAGTTGAATTTTGTTCTTTAATACCAGGAATGTGATTGATGTGAAACATTAATTAAAAGAATTAATTTCTGATTCTTTGGTTTGGTAACTGCTCCATTTCCCAAAATGAATGGCGCATGCTCATTTTCAGATGCCCATCTTGGAAAGCCTTTTAAAGAAGAGTTTTCAGGTATCAGGATGCCACCGAAGAGAAAACTGTACAGTTTAATTCTCCAAGGCTGCCCTCTTAGCATAATCCATATTTGGGATTCCTCCTCTTTCTGCCCCCCGCCTTTTTTTTTTTTCCGGCAATGCGATATGGGAATACATATTTCATGAACAAGTCAATACTTTTGTGAACTCAAAGATGTCCCACCACAATAAAAATTCCAACTGAAAAAAGAAAAACTGGCTTGGTCCACGTTGAATTCGGAGAAAAAGATTTTGAAACCAACTCTTTGGCAACCTTGAGAGTGATGCTCTGTCATAGAAGGAAGAGTCTGTTGAGAAGCTCTTTCATGTTTTAGGGTTTCATTTGAATCTAGGCAGGAAAGAAAAGAGCGAACTGCCTAAGCCATGAGGACTGTCGACTTCCTCGCTGCTCCACCCCTGTTGCGATTGTGGGTTCTGTGGTCCAGTATAACATTTACCCCAAATTTCCTCAGGAACACTAAAACTTATTGTGCTGAAAAATGGTTCTGAAGTTAAATAAGTTTGGAGAGCTCAGGGTTAGAGAGTTTAACCAGCCTCTTGACGCCAAATCTTTTTGGAGAACTTGTTGTGTTAATATATGTTGGAAAGGCCAAGCAAGAGGAGTCCGCAGGACACAGGATTTGACCAGGAACCTTGTTTTTCAGGAGCTATCAGTTAAGATAAGGGCTTGGCAGACTCCACCTTGAGATACTACTGCTCTACGGGAGCTGGAACAAAGTTTGCCTTATTGACTTCAAATAAACAGAATAGAGTCATCTCTCATCATCTGTAACATGGTGAAAATGGGTGTAGGTATGTGTGTCAGGTGGGAGGTTTCCAGAAACCCCCGTGATTAGTAAAAACCCTTTTGACAAGGGAAAAGTCTCACAGACAATAGGAATTTAGAGGGAAAACAAGCTACCAAAAGCCATCAATACTTATTCTTTAAGATACTGAGTTGCCAAACAATCTATGTTTTTAGGTGGTCAAAATCTGAGACAATTGGTGAAATGTGCTTTTTCTGTGCCTCAGTAATGTCATCTGTAAAATGGGGCTAATCATGCCCCGCCTCATATGGTGGTTGCAAGGACTAAAAGACAGTGCAGGTGAGAAACACAAAGGTAGTAATTTTGTTCTCATGGCTGTTGAGGGTTTTGGGGAAGTACTTGAATACAAAGGCACCTTCCCTTTGTTGTACAGCTTTTCAAGGAGGTGGGGGTAGGTTCACATCAAGGCCATCTGGGGAAACATTTGAAAAATATGCATGCCCAGACCCAAGGCATGTACTTTAAAAAAGTAAATACCTGTAATGTAATTGGGGGCAAATCACTCAACTGTAATCTCACCTCTTCTGTAGTAGCCCTGGCGTAAAAGGTTTCTGTGGTTAAATGTTTAGAAACGCTACACTAGCAGCTGCCCCCTCGCTTCCTTGGGGCTTATTGAGCTACCTGAGAAGTCCTGCTGGGCACAGTATTTGCAGACTTGTAACCTATCTCCTTCTGACCTTTCCCGACTCAGCAACATGTATTTTTCTTGCAACTCTCATCGATGCCTCTGTTCAACACTTCGGAGAAATACTATAGCGTAGAGTTAGCCAGAAGAGAATTCTATGCAGATTCAGGAATCCTTTTGCACTAAAGACAGATGGGAAGCCAGGTAGCAAAGAGCAGCAAAATTCCTCTTCCCTGGGGAGCTAAGCCTACCTTTCGTCTCCCTGCCACTTACTACTTATATGTGGAAAGAATTTTGGAAATGATAAATGTGTACTTTCAAATAAGCATCTCTGGATAATCTCAGGGTAATAAAGGCCAGGGAGATGGGCTCAGATTCTGGACACCCCTGGCTTTGAATCCTGGCTCCAACACTTCCAGGCTCAGTGACCTTGGGCAAGTTACTTAATCTTCTATGACTCAATTTCCTTATGTGTATAATGGGATAATAACGGCACCCATCTCATTGGGTTTTTATGAGGCTAAATAAGGTAATCGTGTAAAGCTGTTAGTAAGGGCTTGATAAAAGCATATTATTATTAGTGTTATTACCTAGAAATGGAAAAAATACACTTGAGAAAATCCAGGGGGGAAGAATCAAGAATTAAAACAGAAGAGAGAGCTCTGAAAAACTTCAAGCTCCAATAAATTTTCCACCCTTCACAAATGAATTTACCTTTTTTTGTAAGTCATTACACCGAGCACCCTGTGAGGATTCGGGGTTAGAGTTTGAGCGATGTTATTAAATTGGCTGGTCTATCGCGCTGGAGTGGGACTGACCCCTTCATCTGGCTTTTCACTCTGGTCAAATCCCAAACTATCTGACTAATTAATATACAAGAAACAGCTTGGGAGCTGCTGCCAAAGATAGGGAAAAAAACAAAACAAAACAACCAACTGACTGTTGAAACTCAACAACACCGAAATAACTGCCCAAGAGAGAATAAAAGGGGCTTAGAATTGCAATGAGGATATCGGGGTGAGGAGGTGGATGGGAGATTTATAAGCAAATACAAGTTTCACCTTTCCCAGAACTTAAAAACAAAATGAAACAGAATAGAAATTCTCAGAATGCTTTGCACGCAGTTTAAGTAAGGCGGAGGCTTTGCGCACTCACACACCTACTCACACGTGCACGTGTGTGCAATGTGTATTTCTTACTGTGGACTAGAGTTAGGGGAGGCTGAGAGCCTCTGCTCTTGTGGACAGGCCACAGGCCTGAGACCAGAAACAGATTGCCATTGCACGTCTGGAATGGCTTTGCGAACTTTCCCAGGTCCTGCCCAGCCTTTTTGTAAGCACTGCGGTGATTTGGCCCAAGAGGCGAGGACAAGCAAAGGAGAGAACACTCAGACACTGAGCCGCACCGATGCAGGGAGACCCTGGAGACCACGAGGAGGGCTGTGCCGCCTTAATAACGACATGAAGCAGGACAGCAGCGGCGTGGTCACCCCGGGGTCCACCCCAGTGTGGCAGTGGCAGTGGCAGTGGCAGTGGCAGCTGAGGGAGCAGCAGCAGACCATTTACTGTGTGTCTGCTATGCACCAAAAAGAAGTGTTTTCTTCTTTACTGTTCTTATCTCATTTGAACCTCACAGCAAAACTATGCAATGGCTATAACATTCCCATGGTCCGGACGACACGACAGACTTTCTGAGGACTGGACTAATCACACAAAAAGGGATTTTATGAGAACTGTTCATTCAGTACTGTGAGAGAGGCAGAGTGAGGTACAATGAATAGTCTCCTCTTGAGAAGTTGCAACAGAGATAACTCAACTCAAGAGGATCGCTTGCTCTCTTTCTTCTAAATCCCCTGTCTTCTCCAATTTCTTCCCAGCCAAAGACAGGTAGAGTGAAGAAAATTGATGAGAGTGTGTTCTTTTCCATGGGTAGAGAAAGGTACGAGGTTGGAAATCAACTCCATCAAGGAGAATTTTAATTGAAAATTAGAATATCGCATCCAGCTTTAATTGGTCAATACTTATTGCTTATGAACACTGTTGACATTTACAGCCAACTATTTACCGGTCTCTTACTAATAACCCACTGAGTAGATACTGTTGTACCCATTGTAAGAATGAGGAAATTGAGAATCCAAAAAAGATTTCCCAAGGTCTTACAATAAAACAGAGCTGGAACCTGAGCCTGGGGCCAAGGGGTGCCATGAATTACTTAACACCTTCATGTTAAGTAATTCATGGAGATAGCATTTGGTCTTTAGGATTATCCTGTGGACAGGGTACTACTTTTGCATCCATTTTCATCTCATCTGTGATAAGGGGATAAATGCCCATTTCAGAGAGTTGCCGGGGAGATTGTACCCAAGTGGTTGGGAAAAGGAGGCAGCCACTACTTCCCCCTCTTCTCACCAGGTTAAGTTCAGTTTTCCAGTAGAGTTGGTTTGCTTCTTCCCTTTGACCTCACCCTTGGAGGTGTTAGAAAGTGCCCTACCTGCTGAGAGAAGCCCTTCACCACACGCCTCTGTTTGAGGTTTGTCTCTCCATCCAAGTTGGCCGTTTCCAGGTGGCAGATCCCGCTGGGGTCCGAGGAAAAGAGGAGGAGTATGTCGGCTGGCACGATCTCATTGCAGTGCATCTGGATGAAGTCCCCCACACGCACATCCTTCCAGCGCTTCTGCACGTAGTTCTGCTCTTTCCTTGGGTGGGAGAAAGACAGGGTCAGAGCGAGTCCTGAGGTTCTCCAGAAAACTGATGAGTGAATGGAGGCAGGTCCTGCCTGCATCCTGTCACAAGGCTGTTCTGTATTTTCCCTTCCCCCAGTGACTGCCACCAGAATCCCACTAGAAAAGGGAAGCGTGATCTATAGAATCCCACCAATAAAAGTTCCAGCCTTATGATTGTTTAAAGTTTTGATTGACTGCTGCTGTTGACTGGGTACTACTGTGTTCAGGTTGCTTCCCACCAGGAGGAAAAATGGAAAGCAGAAGGTAACTAACTATACAGTGACATGAGCATGCATTCTGAATATATATCTTTTCCCAGAATAGCCAGTTATCTCCATAGAAAGCAGGGTCGCAAGAAACTGGGGTATGGGAAAGACTTTTTCTGATTATAGGAAGAGAGTGGCTATAGGAAAGGCGAGGGTAGAGGCTACTGTCCAGGAAGATCTGAGTGGTTCTGAAACAGCAAACTTTGGGCTGTCAGGGATTTAGGAAAATGGCACCAGGAACTTTGGGTGGAACCCACAGCAATCATAGAATTAGAGGACTAAAGAAAGCTAAGGATATTAAATACTTTCTCTTCCCATCCAATTTATTAAGCTCAGATAATAACAGTGGCAGTGGTAATGACAAACTTACCATTTCTACTGCGCCAAGTTCAGGGGTTAATTATGTTTCATTTACTTGCATAATAACCCACTAGAGTAGATACTGCTGTACCCATTGTAAGAATGAGGAAATTGAGAATCCAAAAAAGATTTCCCAAGGTCTTACAATAAAACAGAGCTGGAACCTGAGCCCGGGGCCAAGGGGTGCCAAACCCCACAGTTTTCACTGCCTGGACAGCCTACCTCCTCAGAAACAGGCCCCTCTCTCCTCTCAGGCCATACGGCAGCCGCAGCTTTCCCACCACTGGCAAAAGGACTCGCTACTTCCCCAGGCTATTTGTTCTTCATCAAGGAGTTCCTATTGCAGAGAGTATTCCTTCTCCTTGGCCAAACATGGAGCTAGCTCTGCTCTCCCAGGGAATCGGATCCGTCTCATCTTCTACCATTTGAAAAATAATGTAAGGTATTCATCAGATGTCCCAGGAAGCCTTTGGGACGTGTCAGGTTGAAGTTAACTTTCCAAGTGCCTGCAATTGTTCTTGTGTGACATGGTTTCAGGATCTGTCCTGGGGGTGTGGGCTCTCCTATCTCAGGCAGCATTTAGAAATGTCCCTCTTTAAATGTGGAAGTGGGAAACAAACCAATAGTCCACATGGGGTCTTTTCAACGGGCCCAGCTGGCTTGCCACGCGGGCCTCGGAGCCCTGCCAGGCCTGGGCAGGCCGGCTCTCCTTTGCTGTTTTTCTCTACTGATGCTGAACCCCTCTGGGCATGTTATTGCTTTTGTTTCTACTGGAATCTGGGCTGCCCTGGGCATGACAAGCCCACTCTTCCAGAGAAAGAGGCATGACTGGAATGTCCCATTTCTCCTTTGGCTTTACAAACATCCCTGAGGGATTTGATGTCTACCCCCCCCTGCTTTGGGGCCCTTTGAAGAGCCTCAAGCAAGCCCTCCTATGACTCTATTTTCCTTGTCATAAAAGACTCACAGAGGACTCTCTCAGTCCCTGAGATGAATGTGCTTCTCTTTGGAAGGCCAAGGGGAGCTCTCAGCGTCTACAAGGCAATAGGGACCCTCAGAGCCGGAGAGTAGCCTTGCAACTTTCAAGACCCACAGAGTTCTGCGGGGGGGCCTGTGGTTCTGAGAGCTCAGCACTCTGGTCAAATCCCTCCACGGGCAACAGCATTCCATTAGCTACGGAGACCATGTCTAAGGAGCGGGGGCTTTGCACCTATAGAGTTTTAGTAACAATTCTATTCATGGGAAAGCATGTCATGGCTTTTTAAGCACTTTTCAGCTTCTTTTATGCTTGCTCTCTGCCCCACATCACTCTTTTTCCACATGAAGAATGGGAACAGTCACCCCAGATTGTTTCTCAGCGTGATTTCAGAAATACATGTATCTGTTTATTGATGCATTTAGGGCGATATGCCTCCATTGGGAGTGTCAATGTCTCTGTCAAATAATTCACTTAGGGACGGATTCAGGCAAATATTGGTCTTTCTTCAGAGCAGTTTAAAGGGAACACTGCTGAAAGGAATTCGGAATGGCCTGAGCTTTCTATGCAAAAAGAGATCTTACATGGTAATGGCGTGATGGCTTTCTCTATTGCTCCCCCCCCTTTTTGTGAGTGTGCTTTCAGAAAGCATTCTTAAATATTAACAGCAAAATTACTCCAAGGAACAAAGAATTATCATTCAACTTGTCTACCTTCTTCCCCACCCTTCCTCTTTAACATCTGTATCCTATCAGATAATGCCTTTGGGGATGGCGGGGTCTCTTGGATTGTTACAATCCCAGCATTGCAGCTGGTAGCTGAGAGCGGGTTTCATGAGAACACTTGTGACTTGGGAGCAGCCTCCTGATTACCAGCACTTTCAGAGCACCCTGGGCCAGGTCTGCAAATGCTAGCTGGCGGTGCTGCAGATGCAGGCTTATCAACGGCAAGGCTAATGCACCTCCACCGACAGATACCACATCTCATTCTTCTCCCTTCTTACAAAGGATTGCACTGCTCATTATGGAATGTGGGTTATTAAGGTGATGGAAGTTGGAAGGTAATGGCAATGAGCTCATGGTATACATTTTTATGAACAGTCACCTCTGTGTTGGGCTGGAGAGTTGTCTTGTCAATTGCCACCTTGATGACAGGCATCACACATCAATGGAGCCTCCCAAGAAGCTGTGAGTCAGACCAATCTTGGTCTTTCCTTTAGATGTAACCCATTCTCCCTTATGACAGCACGCAGTGGTGAAGGGACATCCTCAGCCCAGCTGTAGGCTTACCTCCCCAAGTTGGGGATGCCCACCGGCAGGCTGTGCTTCTCCAGCAGAGGCACGCCTACCTCCAGGCACACGCCCTGCCCTGTGTGTCTGGGAGTAAGGAGATCAACATAATCTGGGGGTGCTGGTTCTTAAAAAAGATGTTTTTTTGCATGGAGGGGGTAGGGAATATGGTTGGGTAAATTAGCTGGCACCTAATTTAAAGAATCCTATTTGTATTAACCCAAATATGGTTATGTTATGAAATCGAGTCCAATTTTGTAGGAATTTTAGGGGTAAAGAAAAGGAGACATCAGGAACATTGCCTGTGGCACTGGGCCACTCTGCACTGGTCTTCTGATCCTCTGGGCCCACTTTGTCTCTTCAACTGTCAAGGGCATGACTGTCGAAAAGACAAGGATGCATAGCCCCGGGGGTCCAGCCAGAAGAGGTGGCGAGTGGCTGAATCCAGTGGACACGGAGAAGCGGCAAGCTCCTGCTCAGAGTGACATCCCGACATGGCCAGCTGCTGGCTCCAGCCCCCTGAGGGAGTCATTCCCTTGTTATCCAGCCTGTTTGGAACAGCTGGCCCAGGTGGGCACGTCCACACACTCTGGATCACCTCGCTGCTCAGTGAGTCCACACCTGGGAACTGACTGCTATTTTAGTTTCATGGGATGCTCACTGATGTCTAAAAAATAAGACAAATCAATGTGGCTTGGGACGAGGACTCCATCTGGCAGATTCTGCCTCCAGGAGAAATTAAGTGAGGCCGCGTTAAATGGCTTTCCGAGAGGCAATAGAGCTTATTAAGAGGTAAATAAACAGCAAGAGAGACTTGTAACCAACTGGATGCCGTAGGAAAGCAGGTAAATGGGGAGGGGGTAGGGGAAGAGGGGATACTTAAAGCTTCATTTCTCAAGTATGTGGGTTTTATGGAAAGGGTTTCAAGGAGCTGGAATAGAGGGACATCAGCAGGAGGACCAGTTGTCTGCGGGACTTCTCATTCAGCAAAGGACGATGTGCTGCCCTTCAGGAAGCTTGACTGTTGAGCCCAGAATGGTCAGTGTGGCTGCCCCAGGGTGAGAGTGGAGAGTCAGGGACAATGAGCGCAGGGTAGGGTTTAAGAGCAGGCTTGAATCCCAGCTCCTCCACTCCCTCCCTGCGAGATCTCGGGCACGTTACTTAACTCTCGGTGCCCCAGAGGATCGGCGACATGCCACAGAGTGCTGAGCTCAGGGCTTTGCCCCTACTGCTCAATAAACACAAGCTTCTTTCACGATGATGATGAGGAGGAGCACAGTGGCTGTTAGTGTTTTGGCGAAGGCTAAGCACTACAAGGCCAGCCCCAGCATGTTCTTCTTCACGCTATTGGGACGCCTATTTTATGCCTGCGATTACATTCTGTGGCTTGGGCCCAGGCATACAATGTGCAAACACAAGAAAATCCAAACATCTAAACTTTTTCTCCAAGCCCAGAAAAGAGGGACCCAAACTCAGCAGATCAAAGACTGAGGGCTCTGAGTGCTGCCAACTGGAACAAACTCTCGGAAAAGTGTACCTTAAAATCAGGACTGCCAGCAAATTCTTTTGTGGACACTGACAAACTGACTGTAAAGTTTATATGGAGAGGCAAAAAACCCCAGGGTAGTCAACGTGACATTGGAGGAGAAGAACAAAGGTGGAAGGCTGACACTGCCTCACTTCAAGATTTACTATAAAGCTACAGGAATCAAGACAGTATGGCACCGGCAAAAGAACAGACAAATAGATCAATGGAACGGAATTGAGAGCCAAGAAACAAACCTACACAAATAGAGTCAGTTGATCTTTGACAGAGGAGCAAAGGCAATACAGTGGAGAAATACAGCCTTTCAACGAAAGGTGCTGGCACAACTGAACATTTATATGCAAAAAAAAAAAAAAAGTTTAGACACAGACCTTATACCTTTTGAAAAAATTACCTCAAAATGGATCACAGACATAAATGTAAAATGCAAACTATAAAATTCCTAGGCAATAGCGTAAGAGAAGATTTGTCTTGAACATGAAGCAGCAGAAAAGGAGCTTTGCTAACCTTTAGCTATTTTAACATCCAATCTACCT